ATATTGGACGAAACATAGTAATATTTTATTTTACCGTATTATAATAGTAAGTCTCTATCTAGGGCGTCCACGTGGCGGCTTTATTGCGTAGAAAATGCATTTTTTTACAATAGATGTCGCTAGGTGCGCTTAAATGTGATTCATGTATGTTGATTTCTTTACAATAGATGTCGCTAGGTGCGCTTAAATGTGATTCATGTATGTTGATTTTTCTGAAAGATAAACTTTTTTAATGTAATATAAATTGTCATGTTTGTGTACGATAGCGCAATAAATTGATATTGTATTCTACCACATACATGATAGTGCTTTTATACTGATAATTTATACAATTCGTGCAAAATTATTCCCTAACCATTCCAAAATATCAAAAATGCACAACATTAATATTCAAGTTCCCGGAGTGCAATCCGTCGTTTTTTTTTAACCGCTATTATGTATAATCGTTATTTTCACTTACAACTTAATGGTTGTTGACCCAATATCCAATTTCCTCAGAATGCAAACTATTTCAAAGTTTCATAAGTCAAAGAAAAAAACATACGATATTAAATATAGTTTAATGCTCACTCCCAGAAAGGTATGTAAAATCATTTTTCAATTAACATACATGTCACAGACCAGGGTCGATAATTTTAAAAATGGTAAAAAGTGAAAAAAAAATATAGTAGGATGAAACCCATTGGAAAAGGTAGAGAATATAACAAAAGTTAAAGGAAAAATAAATTACGGGCGATCTGAGGTCGGGAAGAGGGAGGGGGTGAGTGTTTAAGGGTAAAAACCGGTTAATCTCGATTTCCGGGAAAACTGAAAGTCCTATGAAAAAAAGTTAAATGGCAAAGTTGTAGGTAATAAAAAGATCTACAACTTTTGTATCGACACTTTTTTCACATAAGCTCAAAATTTATGTGAAAAATTCGAATAACCGAGTTTTTGGATTTTTATTTTTATTTTATGCAAAAAAAATATTTTTTTTAACTAAATTTAGTGAACATTTACCTTTGTATGTCCCAAACATACAGCATTTTTTTTATTTAAAATATTATTTTTTTCACCTTATTTTGACTTAATATCCAAAAAGCACAAAATATCTGCTTTTTTAAAAAGGAGGTGTGTTTTTTGTTTGTTGAAATCTCTACTCTTTGATGGTATAAAAAACAATATACACTACTATGTAAATGTTCTCAGAAACTGCAAATTAATAATGATAATAACTCGAATCCGAAAATCCTATTTTTAATACCTACTTACAACAACTATTTTTGCATGTTAGGATTTGTAATTTTTCTGTTTATCAATATATCAACAACATCTTACGTTTTTCGAGTAATTAAAGTGTAAATTTTAATATTTATTAAAATTATACATAACGATTCAAATATATTTTTCGGATTGGAGTTTTTTTCATTATTAATTTGCAGTTTCTGAGAACATTTACCACAGTAGTGTATATTTTTTTTATACCATCAGAAAGTAGAGATTTCAACAAACAAAAAACACATCAACTTTTTTTAAAAAGCAGATATTTTGACGTGGGAATTTTCGATTGAAAATTAGGGTGCTTTTTCGATATTAAGTCAAAATAAGGTGAAAAAATGAATATTTTAAATCAAAAAAATTACTGTATGTTTGGGACATACAAAGGTAAGTTTTCACTAAGTTTCGTGAAAGACTTTTTTTTTTGCAAAAAATAAAAATAAAAAACTAAAAACTCGGTTATTCCAATTTTTCACATAGATTTTGAGGTTATGTGAAAAAAGTGTCGATACAAAAGTTGTAGATCTTTTTATTACCTACAACTTTGCCATTTAACTTTTTTTCATAGGAGTTGCAGTTTTACCGGAAATCGAGATTAACCGGTTTTTACCCTTAAAAACTCACCCCCTTTCCCTTCCCGACCTCAGATCGCCCGTAATTTATTTTTCCTTTCATTTTTGTTATATTCTCTACCTTTTCCAATGGGTTTCATCCTACTATAATTTTTTTTGGTCTCAAAAATTATCGACCCTGGTCTATCAGCGTTACAGAAGTGTCAAATCAATATGAGTTCTGAAACGAACATTAGTGAAACATTCTAGACTCCTAAAATGGGGTTCCTATTTTTTTTTAGTTTCCGAGTTATAATTTTTTTTGTGTATTTTTAATAATTTCTGCCAGCGAGGTTTCAAAAATTCTTATCTTTTTTCGTAGTAGGTATTTTGCAGTCTTTTTTTGTGACATAATTGACTTGAATGTTGTTTTAATAAAAAAATAACTCAGCGTCCTGCAATTACTTAAAGTTACTTAAAAAAGGCTTGAAAGTTGGAACTTTACTTTTTAGTAGGATTTACTCAAACATTCAACTTTAATTAAAATGTAAGACAAGGACTTTCCATAGCTTCTCGTTAAAATTAAAAACTCCGCATGTTTCTAAACTACTAAAAATCATAAATAAAAAAATGTACTTAATCAGCCTATTTTTGTTGTATTTGGCCTTCGAAGGCGGACAGGCTAAAAATAATTGAAACATGATAACATCATTAAAAATCATTTTATCTCCTTTTTATCATTGTTATGGTAAATTTAACTTAAACATGTAACTTCAAATTAAATTTAATTGAAATTCCCGTAAAAAAATTGCCATGTGTAATTTTACAATAATTTCGGTTTCACCAATCAGATTTAAAATGCGAATTATACAGGGCGTCCCACGGCAACCTCACACGGAGGGAAAGTATATTAAATATTGAAGATAGGATATTTTACTGTGAAAAGACATCATTTTATTTTTAATAATAAATAAAACTGCATTCACAGTTTTTTTTTAAATCGCCTGATACAACTGGGAATCAAACTCGTGAAATTTCGAAAAAAAAACACGACATATTTTATGATAACCATCGAAAGGGTTAATCATAAGCATTATTTTTTGCTTAATAACATAGCATTTAAATGAAAGAAAAGTAATTAAATTGAACATTTTATTTAAAATTATTTTACATAAAATTACTTTTCTCAAAGTAAGTTCAAATGTTGAGTTCATCATCGTTGGCGTTTATCATCAGCTGCTGTGGTTCCTGTAAGCGCATATCAAAACGTCCTAAATTTCAGTATCCAATAACCTTTTAAGCACATATCGAGAAGATACGTCTCCATCAGGATATCTTTTGCGGTACCACCGCAAAGCTAATATGTCTTTGTGTTTCATAAAGTAAGCTTCCATTAAATCCATTTTATTTTGATACGCCATGGTAAGTAAAATAACAAAAATACGAAAATGAAACTCAAAAAAAAGAACAGACGCTTGAAAATTTATGTGTTCCATTTTCGAATTATTATTTTTATAAATTTCAGCCCATCGCATTGTAACTGTGAGTTCAAAAAGAAAGCATACGTACTTCAGTTTGTCATCATCATCAGCCTATTAATGTCCCCACTGCTGGGGCACAGGCCTTCTCTATGGATGGAATAGGGAAATTGTTCCATGAACCACCATGAGCCTAGTGCGGGTTGGTGGGTGCTAACGACTGCGGATGCAGCCGGGACCAACGGCTTAGCGTGCCTTCCAAAGCACGGAGGAGCTCGTGATAGTAAATTTTCAGTCACCCATCCAATGACCGACCACAGCGAAAGTTGCTTAAATTCAACGATCGCAGCGGAACGTGCTAACCACTTGCGCCATCGAGCTCCTCCTTCAGTTTGTATAACACTTTATTACTTTTATCACGTAATAAGACATTCCTTTCATTTAAAATGCTATGTTATTTAACAAAAAATAATGCTGATGATTAACCCTTTCGATAGTTATCATAAAATGAGTTGTTTTTTTTTCGAAATTTTACAAGTTTGATTCCCAGTACAACTGGGATTTAAAAAAAACCTGTGAATGCAGTTCTCGTTATTATTAAAAATAAAATGATGTCTTCTTTCAGTAAAATATCCTATCTTCAATATTTAATATACTTTCCCTCCGTGTGAGGTTGCCGTGGGACGCCCTGTATATGTGTGTATAGTTTCATGTGTAACATTCGTAGCGTTTCAGACTTCGCCGAGTTACCCTCCAACTCTCATACTCGTAGGGAAGATCTGCCAACGCATCCCACAATCTCTAATATATAAAATTATTGTGTCACGGTGTGCGTAATTGAACTACTCCGAAACGGTTCGACCGATTTTCGTAAAATTTTATAATTATGCATATTCAGTGGACCTGAGAATCGGACAATATCTATTTTTCATCCCATAAATGTTCCTCACTTTTTTTGTCAATTTTTTTTGTTTTAATTTTTTATGATACATCATACAAAAATACATACAACCCTAAATTTTCACTTTTCTACAACCAACCCCTATTTTTTATGGCGGTAAGAAGTTCGCTGGGACAGCTAGTATATATAGTCGTGTGACGCGCGTGATGCATTTGCGTTTTCTCTCGTCTTTCTCGTCATCTTTTCCATAGGATTTTTCCAATTACAACCCATCCGAAAAAAGTTTCACTTCAATATTTCTAAAAGTATTCGGAAGAGCAAACAAACAGTTAATTTTAATAAGTCTAAAGTGTGTATAAAAACATGTCTCCTTAAGAAAGGTTACTATGCTGTTAAAGATTTCATAAATGATAAGTCACCTTGGGCTTAATATAATAGACTAAGTCGTTTAACTTTGCTAATTCGAAAATAGTACCTAGCTATACTTAACTTTTGTTAATAATATTAATGTGATGGAAGTTGACATCAACACAATACATGTATTCAATTATTGATGTCATCTTTCAATTGACGACACTGTATGAAACAAAACAGGGAGAAAAAAATAGTTTGCTGAGTTTCTTGCCGGTTCTTCTCAGTACAAGGTCTCCCGCCGTAGATTTACGAACCGATGGCGTAGCGTTTGACTTTCTCAAGAGCTTGTAACAGCCTAGACTGAATAAATGAGTTTGAGTTTGAACAGTCATTGACAATGTGGATACCTACTCTAATTTGTGCACTGTCCAGTTGGTCGCGCATAATTCGACAGCCACTCCTCATCCGTCGACAGTTCAAGTTGGCATGCTGAATGGCAGACTTTTGTGCCGACCGTGGCTGGCGCCTCGCGTGTCAGTTATCCAGCGGATCCCGTCGGGACACGCCGCTTCATACATTCGGCCTAGCGGGACGCGCTCTCTCAGTGCGTTAGTGTTTTGTTCGTGACAAAGTCACTGTGACTTCTCGCGCGCGTGTAAACAGTGGAAGCAGTGAGTACATACCTGTTCTAATTTCGAAAATAGTGGTTTTGAATTTCTTTCTGTGATTTTTTTTTTGCTTTAAATGTGTTGAGTTTTTTTGAGTAGTTCAAACTTTTTGAAACTAACTACAATCGAGAGTAACAAACGAAGCTTTAATTTTGGTGAAAAAATTATATATTTTTTTACAAATTCATCTGAAGCTTATTATTTCCTGGCTTATTCTTAACTATTTATAAGAAAAAAAATGAACGGGCTACGTTTTAAGTTATTTTTTTTTTTGTATCTGTTCTTGTTAAAAATATGAAAACCTTACTTTATGACAAAGTTCTTTCTATATGAAAATATATACAAACTTTTTTACAAGAGTAGTATATTTATTTATTTAATATAGAGGTCGCAAACACTTGCTGCTGACCTCCATGTGATGGTCGAGTGGTTCGCGTACCTGTTTCATGGTGTTACCACCTCGGAGGTCCCAAAGTCGATCCCGGCTGACCGCCTCAAGTCCTATAAGGTTTACTTTGACACTTCAAAGTAAATTCAATCTTAAAATACAATAACAAAAATATATCATGCAAAGTTTAAAAAGTGATATTGAAATTGATAAATTTTCATATTAGACATATAGGTATATATATATAGCTCTGTTCAATGTAGAAAAACCAAGTTATATGTCAAAATTTCAGTCTTTTACTGTCCCCACTGTTAAGGACCTGGCCTTTTCTATATATGGAAGAGTGAGAGTAGGAATAACGAATATTTTTTTTAATCATCTATCAGGTAGATTATCAAAAAGGTTTCATCACGTCATCAGCCTATTAATGTCCCCACTGCTGAGGCACAAGCCTTCCTTATGGATGGAATAGGGAGATTGGGCCATGTCCCACCACACGGGCCAAGCGCGGATTGGTGGGTGCTAACGACTGCAGATGCAGCCGGGAGCAACGGCTTAACGTGCCTTCCGAAGCGCAGAGGAGCTCGAATCAGTAAATTTTTGGTCACCCATCCAATGACTGACCAATGCGAAAGTTGCTTAACTTCAACGATCGCAGCCGAACGCGCTAACCACTTGCGCCATCGAGCTCCTCAGTGCAGTTTCAATACGTATTTGTTCTTTATTCGCAGAATCAAAACATTGAGGAGATAATTATACTGATATTTTTATATCGAACGCTAATTGTAGTGCATTTAGTACTAAGCTTCGTAGTGAAAGTGTGAAAGAAGCATGTAGTAACCAAGAATCGAAGCTGTAACCTTTTCTATACATCAATGGTGGAAGAGAAAAATGCTTAAACGCCACTTCAGTAACTTTACTGAAACTAGGATTAAAGTATTTTTTCACAAAAAAAATCGTAACTCGTAAATGAGAAGCAGCGCCATAAAAATAAAAACATATTCATAAAATAATATTTTCTAAATATCCTCTTATCGAAAAGTTACATGGTGACTTTACAAATTAGATGTGGCTTGAGCGAAAATCGCTGGGCCCGCCAAACATTTTTTGTTAAGGAAACATCAAATCATACGCCAAAAAGCGCCATTGCAAAAACACGAAATTTTTTTTTGTTTCAGCGTTGTGAACAATAAAAATCTTCAAAAAATTTTGTTGCTTAAGCGCCAAAAAAGTACTCAAACCTTCACGTAACATAAACAGATCGACACAGAAAAAAAACTGATTCAAATGATATATATAGAAATTTGGACTTACTAAAAAGTTATTAAAAGGATATAGGAATAATATTATAATAAATTCTTCAGTTTTAGTTAATTTGTGGCACGGTAGTAAGTTATAAATAAGCGAGTTTCTAAGTAGGTAAAAAACAGTTAAATAGTGACTTAAAAGTTAAAACTTTGTCTAAGTATATTATGCTGAAGTATAGTTATTATTACAATGATATATTTTATGTACTTAATTTAGAAAATCAATAATTTATATATTTATTTAAATGCATGTTAAATGATTAATTTAAAATAATTATGTCATTAGAAAAAAAACGTGTATTTATAAAATTATAAAGCCAGATCCCAAATTGTTTTTTTTAATGTTTCATATTGTTTTTTTTTTAGAAATTAGCATTATTATAATAAAATTCTTATTTGATGTGCCCTATACCCGTTACCGGTACCAATAACTGTTGTGGTAGACGAGTTCTGTGGGCCAATCGCCTAACCAGATTGCTTTGGAAAACGCTATCGCTTACGATTTCATTTTGTTATTTCTAACCGCCGAAATACCTCACGCTCATTTTCTTTAACATTGTTATTACCAATGCAAAAGAAAAAAAAAAGAGCGCGAGGCATTTGAAAACCTCAGGGGGCTAGAAATAACAAAATGAAATCGTAAGCGATAGCGTTTTCCAAAGCAATCCAGTTAGGCGATTGGCCCCCTGGAGTGGAGACCGCGTCTACGCAAACGTAGTGTAGGACGTCCTCAGGCACGGTGGAGTGACGATTTGCGCAAGGTGGCTGGCAGAAGCTGGATGCGAGTAGCCCAAGATCGATCTGAGTGGCGTGCATTTGGAGAGGCCTATGTCCAGCAGTGGACTAAGATGGGCTTTTGATAATAATGATGATGTGCCCGACAGGGTCCATAATCTGATCTGTAAATATTTTTAAAAACCTGTTTTAGGTTATTCAGGTGGTGTGATTATTGAGAACAGTTTTAACTGACTCGCTTCGGAAAAAAACGTGTGTTGTCTAGTAAGAACTAGATTTAACTTATATTCCATTTTGAGCATTAGTCAATTCTAGTTTTAACAAAGGCATTTAGTAAAAACTAGTTCTAACTAGGGAAAACACGTTTTATCTAAAAACTGATTTTAACTGTAACATATATAACTAACTCATTTTCGACCAAAGTGGCATAAAATAAGCAATTTGACCTTTCCACTGACGACATTAAGCTACAATGCACTGACCATTATGGTGCCGGGACCCTATTTGCCTTGTAGCGTAATAATAAGACTGCTCAAATTCGATACGTTTTATAAAAATTGAAAACCATTGCATACTTAACATTTGCAAAGCCTTCATATTTAATGCTAATATTCATATTAAATAAACATTTGAATAAAAGGCTCACCAATAATAATAACAAAAGAAAACAGACGTACATGAACGATTTAAAAAGTTAAAAACAGTTACTGCAGCCGAAGGACAGCACTGCGTGGAGTAAAAATAGTTTTTAATCTAAAAGTTTCTCCAACTGGGTTGCAATGACTTTTTAGAAGTTATTTTTTTGCAGAGGCTGTCCTACTTTTTAACTTACTTAATTATTTATTTTGCCTTAATACACTCTTATACAGCTACAGGTCAATGGTTATTCATAAAATATAGTCGACAATTTAAAAAAAAATGTATCATTTAGTTCTACCTTAATTTTAGGACATAACTTTAAAATCAAAGAGAATTTTTTTTTTATTGAATAACCTAATTAAGTTTCGTGTACTTGGATTCGACCTCTATATTTTATAGTTTCAAAGATATTTTTTACTTTTTATTGGTACACAATATTAGAACAAATATTTACATATCTCGAAATGGACTCTGTACAAATTTTCGCACAATTAAATGGTCCATTAGGGTGAAGCCAAACGAGCGTAATTTTGTGAGTTGTGAGTCGCTTATTTTCGGTCACTTATTCTACGTTCAACTGATTTTTTGTATGAAACCGAATGCAGCAGAATTTCTGCGACCGAAATTCTGCGACTCACCACTCACAAAATTACGCTCGTTTGGCCTCACCCTTATAGTGTCCAGACGTCTGGACCAGATGCCTGCAGCCGAGCTAGTTACAAAGTTAGTAATGGCATTTGTATTCCAAATGTTTAAACCAGCAAGAATTTGCTTACGGTTGGCCCGTTTTTTCCGTTTACTGACTTATACTTTAAAGCACGAATGCCCTTAAAAAAATAAATTAAATAAAAATCTAGTATTTATCTGGTTTTACATGTAAACCCGTTTGTTAATGCTACTATCTAATATATAAAATTCTCGTGTCGCGGTGTTTGTGGTTAAACTTCTCCGAAACGGCTTTCCCGATTCTCATGAAATTTTGTGTGCATATTGGGTAGGTTTGAGAATCGGACAACATCTATTTTTCATCCCCCTAAATGTTAAGGGTAATCCACCCCTAATTTTTTTTTCAATTTTAGATTTTTTTTTAATTTTTTTTATGATACATCATACACAAATACATACAACAATAAATTTTCACCCTTCTACCACCAACCTCTATTTATTTATGGCGGTACGAAGTTCGCTGGGTCAGCTAGTATGTGTATTTATTTGATATGGTCCCATTAAGACCTATACCTATACCTATATTGTAATAATTAGAAGACTTTTTTTAATTGACATAAATAATCGAGATTTCGACGTTGATGTTATTTCAATTTTAACAGTTCAAGTATCCTATGTTACCCGGGAAAGTGAAAGGATTCTATCGATACCCCACACATCTAAATCGGTTCTAGCGTTTAGAAGGTATGGTGGAATAAAGAATTGTACATACATACATGAACTCTGAATATATTACACTCTCTTTTTTTTCATATTAGTTTTTGCTTTTCCTTAATTCCTATTGAATTGTTTCCAATATAAGAAATAAATTTATGATACTACTTTATGTGCTACTACTTGATATTAATAACGCATACTATATTTTTTTTGAAGATTACTGTTAGTTTCTTCTATCAAAATAACTTTATCCTACTTGTGTATAATATGGAATTTTAATTAAAATTATAATTTCTTTGGGGACTAAACTTTGTCAGATTGCCATTCAAGATCTACAGCGCCCCAACACCAACAATTAAATAATTGTAAGTTTATTTTTTAGAGCGAGGTAGGCAAATGACTCTTGTGTCGGGTGACCGGTGCAGGGGTATTGTCTGGTTTTTAGTGGCCCTGTTCAGGGTTTAGATAGTGTCCTGCACATTTCATCGAGACCGAGGGCTGGGTGAAATGAGCAGGGAGGAGTCCCACATACCTTCCTCTCGCTCCCCTGG